AAAGAATTGAAGAGAAAAAAAAACTGTTTTAATTGAATTTCCTTAGTTTTGAATATATTAGTATTATAGAAAGAAATTCTTTTCAAAATGAGGTAATTGAAAATAGTAAATTTTGATTTATAAATAATAATTTCTAGAGTAATATTGAATATTATATAATTAATAATACTCTTCAGTATTAAATTGAAATAAATAATTTTTTCAATAGTAACTCATAGTTTTTTTATTTGAAAAAAGAATATAATATAAGTGATTATTTTATTATTGTATTTAAAAAAAGGATATAATATAAATGATTATTTCGCTATCGCTACTTAGTAATCTGTTTACTATATACATTTTGTATATTAATATTATATTGTATAGAAGCTTTTCATCGTTAACCTTTACTTTAATAATATAAATTATTTAAAAAGCTTTCGGTTTTAGTTTTACTATAGAGCTATCAGACTCATAACCTATTTATAATAAAGGAGTAGGTTAATAGAATACATGTAATATTGACTATATAGATTAATTGTATTAAGATAAAATCTAATTATAAAATAGAAGTAATATATGTATAGTAGCGTAGCGTACGTGCTATAACTTCCAACAGTATAGAAGATTATATCGTATGAATATTTAATTAGTTTATTTAGGAGTATAAAAGATAAATATCAGTCAATTATTAATACTAATAGTGTATATACTAAATATTAATAAAATTAATGCTTTTTTTTATTCTCAAAAGATTCTTTATAATACTTTTATCATCTGAAATTCATTATATTAATTTTTAAAGAGTATAAGGTTTTTATTAACTAAACCCTCTATATATAGGGAAAAGCTCGGTCGCTTTTTGGTATATTTTATAATACTTACACTGACAACCTTCGTAGAGGCATGATTTAGCGAGTCATGTAAACTGCACTTAGAACTTGAGAGACCTTAATTTTATGCTCACTTCTTTTAGTAGATATGACAGCCATGTTATCGTTTAATGTTCTCAAGTTGTTGCCAGAGGAAATGGGAGGGCTTTTGTTGACGCTATATTGCTTGCTTTTTACGATATAGCTTGGTGTAGCGATTTGTAGACGAGAGTGTGAGAATAGAGGGATGGTGTCGTGGAGAAATTGAGCGCATAACTATCATACCAGAAACATTTCCCTGAATGTTCGGACGAAATTGACTGTCATGTATGGTCGAAGCGTTGAATATTTTTATTATTGATATCACAAGGTGATTCCTACTATTTCTAAGAGGTCCTCCTGTCGATTTTTCTTCGCTACTGAGATAGAAATCAGAGGACTTTGGCCGAGTACAACATGTTGTATCGTTGAAATTCTTAAAGCCTCAAGAAAGTCACTTGTTCCGCACGCGAGACAATCTAGAGAATCCTCTTTAAGAGTTTCATGAACAATTAAAGTTGTGTGTTTGTTGCATGATGATTGGCAGCTGAACGTAGTTCAAATAGCAATGCCCTGACTACGGATACGAAAGGACAAGAGGACTTGAATTTTGAGTGTATTTGGTTGTGTGGAACGACGAACTCATCAACATAATGATGTTGATTTAGGAATCAGAATATGAGGATCAATTTCAGTCTAGTACAGCTGTGGATAGATTTTCACTCTTTATCCACTTGTGCTTACCTCTTTCGCTGAAGTTTTATGTGAGTTACAGGAAGGATTGTGGTCTGGGGAGTATCCAACGAGTTGTCGCGGGAAGCATTAGATGCTTCAGGTGAGATTCAGTGATTCTTTCTACTAGATCACAAGATCTCATCTTCAACAGGAGCATTCTGTGATTCTTTTAAGATCACCAAGAAAGTATACAGCTCTTCTTGTCATATTCCTCCATTTCTGTTACAGAATTGGGATCGTATCACCGGCATATCTTTGTTATTTCTCAACCACTTCCATCGCTGGCCAGAAGTGAGTTCTTTCATACAGATGATAACTTTAAATTACCATCAGAACGTTCGGATGAATATGCGAGGCAAACAAATGGTGACAGGTGTCAAAAACCTATTACTCTGAGGCAAAGCTGAAGACTTGAGTATTTTGACTGTTTGGATGGAACAGTTTGAGGAATCCGCAGACGGAAAACGGAGGTTTTGTAGGCGTTCAGTAAAAATAAAAAAAAATAAAAAAAAATAAAAAAATCGAGACAGGAAGTGGGAGATGGGGTCAAAAATGAGGCTTGATTCACTAATACAAACGAGAGAATGGTAAATTTCTCCTAGATAGAGATCGTTAAGACGAACAGAGGAAAGCTAGAAAATCAATGGTAGCCCGTCGTTCTCCATTCTGGCTTGCACCCCTGTTTCAATTGTCAATTGTCCCCGGAGCTTCCATAATGGAATATCTAGAAAGTCCGAAAATCGACTAAAGTTGGTCGCTCGGCACTTCACCCTGGAAATTGTCAATATCGTGATTATCCGGAGAAATTGTTAAACCCCATCATCATATTGCATGATTTGACATGACATCTCGATAGGATCAGGGGTAAACACTTAGATAGCGATTATGTGGGGTTAAGTCCAAAGCTAAAATATCTGAAACCTTATAACATGCAATTCAAGGAATCTGGACTTGTACGTACGAGAGAAATGGGTCGGACCAAATGACTAAGATATCAATTAGTGGTTAGCACTGTTGTTTCATACGAAAAGTGAGTGCCGAGGAGCGTTATAGGCATGAATGTGTGTATTATTCTGCAAGCATGACGTCGTCTGAAGAATGGGATGAGGACACTGAGATAATGTCGAGGGGAACGTGCCATCAATCCCGAGAGAAGCCAAATGACAATAAACTTTGGTCGTTTGTATTTCCAGCTCCACCGCCAGGGTTTTGGTCTACACCAAGGGAAGAATGGGGGAGTTGGAGTACCTGATCATCCTGACTAAGGTCTCTCTTTTTAAGGTTGACCCTAAGGTTATTGAAATTTATGCGGAATGGTTCCAGCCCTTTTGATATCCTTTGATAGGAAGAAGGTACGAAGTAGATTCTTTCTGTAGGTTTATTGATCTGCACGAAAGCACGTGCTTATCATGTGACCTTTGTAGCTAGTAGTTATCTATAGACTTCTTATTTGAACTCTAGGTGTTATGTGAGAGTATCTCACAGCGTTTTCTTCCCCTCTCCTATAGGGACACTAGCTTCAGTGACTATTGTACGGAATATATGAAAGACTACTTTATAACCCTACCACTCTACTCTTTTACATTGATTGAGATATCTTCTATTCACTGTATCAAATAGAAACATAATCTCTTTTCGTTGAATCAGAAAGGGAGATGCGGGCCATACAATGCTTAGAAATGTCGATCCATTTTTTTAATTCTTCAAAAGCTTGACCTAAAGCTTGTTTCGTCAACAAAGGCAATCAGATAGAATAGTTATATGGTCAACACTGATGATTGAATTGTATAATCTATTCTTCAATTATCTTATATCACTACAATCAATTTTATTGCTTTCTCAATTTGTAACTTCTGCTTAATATAATCAACGGAGGATATTCTAGCTCAGAATCTCATCAAAGAAATCCATTTCATACCTCGTTGTTATCAAGAAATGAAGGAGAAGATCGAAAAAGCAATTATTATCAAAACCGTCCGCATTTACTTTCACACGAGAACGTGCATTGAGGCGGTCTAGGGCATGAAGTGTCGGGATCAGAGTAGCCTCTACGGGTTCGAAGCTTGATTTGAGAGCTAAAGTTCGGCAAGCTTTTAGCGCCTTCTGCAGAGCCTTCAATTTTATAGGGCAACAAGTGTAAAGGCTCGGCTTACCTAAATTAAGTTGCGCTCTTTATTAATGGGACAAGATTGAAAGGGTAACCTAGATAAGCTCGAAGCGAAGTAAAATCAAGCTTTGTTGAGATGAGACACCATGATGCCGGCCAATGAAATGGAATGGTAAGTTCCGAGAGGTACAAAATTGATTGATTGAATGCTTATTCTTTAAATGAACATCTAGAACAGTACTTGTCAATTCTAGAATCTTTCATAATTCTGGGAATGCTGCGTCACCTAGTCGAGGAGTAGTTTGGTTCTCCTATGTGGAGAAACGACGCTAAGCCCTATTTCTCATAGTTCACGAGGCATTAATGGTTAATTACACTCAACGACTGCGGCTTGAAACTGTAAAGCTTTCAATACTCCGCGAAGCCATCATTCAGAGATTGCATTTCCCGACACTGCCGAGCTAACGTCCGCTATTCACGCAGCATGAAAACTTAGCGGAAGTTTTTCCTTCAATCATACGAAGGTTGACGGCGTAAGTATTGTAAAACACACCAAAAAGCGATCAAGCTTTTCTCTATTTTTATTATTTGGATTAATTATATTATTATATTGGTTAAAAATTTATATAGTGAATTTTAAATAGTGAAAGTATTGTAAATTTATTCTATTTCTAACAAAATCATTCAAATTTATCGAAATTCATATTTTTCTTTTTAAAAATATTATTTTAAATTTATTTAGAATCTATAAAAAGCTTTGAAAGCTTTAAAAGCTTTAAAATTAAAAGGATTGAAAATTTGAATAAAAGGGATCAAAATTCGAAATTTTGGAAAGGATAGCTAAATATCTAATAAAATTAGTAAAAGCAGTATTGGAATTTCGTAAAACAATAACTTTTATTAAAAATGGGGCTTACACGACTTACGCCTTCAACCTCCGTACATTCGCCGTTATAAATTGTAAACGAACAGCAAGAGCTGGGATGTGACCGAGGCCTTGGGGTTAGGTACCATTCAAAGCTTTCCTCTGTTGACTTATTTTAGACTTCAATGCCTTTTAGGATACGAATGAAGAAATGCGAAAGTCAAATAAATTGTATTCTTCTCATTCCAGTGAACGGACATCTTGCTTGTTGTCCGATAGGGTGCTTGGGATAGCATTACCTGTCTCCTGAGGCTGTATATGATTTTGTACCTGTCTACCTTCGCAAACACAGTGAGGGATTTCTCCGTGTTGAGAGAAATTCAATAGATCTATGATCTCGTAGCTGCGCAGGGGAGGCATGCAAAGACCATCAATGACTACCTGCGAGTGCGAAATATCTCTATGTCGGATCTCAAGTTTTTCTATAAGTAGGAAGCGTATTCCCGTTTCTTATTCTTTCCTCACACACTCAATCAATCTCCAGCCAGCATACACTTCAACCAACACACTCACTAACTTCACGAAAAATGATCTATCCCACAAGCCTCATCGCTTTATTGGCCAGCACGGCTTTCGTGTCTGCAGCTCCAGGTTCCGTAAGATTCCTCATTCCACTGACATTATGAAATATATACTGAATGTCCATTCTTAGTCCCTAGAGGTTCTTGAAAAGCGTGATGCTTGCACATTCACCACCGCCGACGCTGTCAAATCTGGAAAGCTTGCTTGCAAGACTATCATCTTGGATAATATTCAAGTTCCAGGTGCCACCACTCTTGACTTGACTGGCCTCAACACCGGTACACAAGTTGTATTTCAGGGAAAAACTGGGTGAGTTTTCTCGCTCACATTGCACGAAATAATCCTAACAACATTTCAGCTTCGACCATGCTCTGTGGATAGGTCCTCTTATATCCATCTCCGGAGAAAACATCGTAGTCACCGGTGCGAAAGGACACGTGATTAACGGAAACGGTTCAACATGGTGGGACGGACATGGTACTAACACTAATCCCGTGACGAAGCCCAAGTTCTTCGCTGCTCACTCATTGACTGGATCTTCCAGTATCACCGGTCTATACTTCCTCAATGCACCTGTCCAGTGCATTTCAATTGATTCATCTGTTGGATTGTCACTTATCGATATCACTATTGATAACTCTGCTGGAGACGCTGGTAATCTTGGTCACAATACCGATGGTTTTGACATCGGTAGCAGTCAAAATATTTTTATCTCCGGAGCAATCGTCAAGAACCAAGATGACTGCGTTGCCATTAACTCTGGCACTGTAAGTTTCATCCAATTTTCCAACATCGTCGACTTTGCTGATCAGTAATAGAACATCACTTTCACTGGTGGAAACTGCTCTGGTGGACATGGTCTCTCCGTCGGTTCCGTCGGTGGACGCACTGGCACTGGAGCCAACGATGTCAGCGATGTGAAGTTTCTCTCCTCCACCGTTTCAAATTCTGAAAACGGTGTTCGAGTTAAGACTGTCAGCGGTGCCACGGGTTCTGTCAAAGACGTCACTTTCCAGGATATCACCCTCGTCGGAATCACCGGGGTTGGTGTCGATGTCCAACAGGATTATGAAAATGGTAAGCCAACTGGTACACCCACTGCTGGAGTTCCAATTACTGGATTGACCGTGAACAATGTTCATGGTACCGTTTCTGGTGGCCAGAATGTTTACATTCTTTGTGCAAATTGCTCAGGTTGGACTTGGAATAAGGTTAATGTAACGGGTGGAACGGAGCTGCAGAAATGTGCTGGAGTTCCCACGGGAGCTTCTTGCTAAGCTTGTCATTTTTTCGAGCCACGCGGTGGGAGCAGTCATGGCTTCTGATAATGTTTGATAATTATTAGATTACTAGGAGGGGGTACTGAGCTGGAGGCTTTCCGAGGAACTTTGGGTGTTGTATTATAAAAACTCTTTTACATGTGGCTGTCAGATACTTGACGGATAACCACGAAGGACAGTAGCCTCCATAATCTAGAAACAGGCTTCTATTCAGGTTATTTCCACTCATTCTGTACACCATATTTGTGATTTTTCCTAACTTCCCTTCTCTTCAACGTCCGCTTAGCTATTAAATTGGGGGTAAAAAGGTGGGTTCTGTTTCAACGATGACATTTCCAGTTCGGATGTTACTCAAAATGGATCAAAATTTACAGTAAAGTCAATTTAATTTGAAGGTAGTAATGTTGAAGCACTAAAACAATAACCAGGACAAAAGGCACCATAGGTTAGATCAATTCGTTCTCTATCTTAACCTCTTTAATCTCATACCCATTTCATTGTGGTTATCTACGCTTCTTCCTTCAAAAGAATTAAAGAACTATTTCTCACAACAATATCACTCATGACTCTGATACTTTCCGCCCCCATGATATCATAGACGGCCACGTTCGTACCCAGCTCTTTGCCAAACCAATTGCGCAACTCCACTGCCAATAAAGAATCGACACCATATGCGTGAAATGGCTTATTTGTATCGATATCAGCCACTTCAGTCCCCAATGCTTTCGCCAACTTCATTACTATTGCTGTCGATACCACTTCCTTTAATTCGTTTACAGAATCTGCAGCTTTCAGTTGAGATTTGAAGCTCCTTTCAGCAGATTTGGTATCGGTTGAAAGAGTATCGTCTCGGCCAATATATGCAAGTGGACTGAAAGTGGGTGTTTGAGCCCAGGATGGTATTTCTAATCCTTGAGCGGACAATTGTGACGGCGCTAAGAGACCGATAATGGGTAAAGCCTCCTCTGATGCTGGTAACTTTAGTGGATTATCAGGATTACAGTAGTAATCAAGAAGTGCAAGAAACTCTTCTTCTTTGACCGATGCGACTTCATTTACAAGGTCCCTATTTTTGAGTACATCGGGATTCTCACTAATGATGCCTACATCGCTCATGATGCCTAGTCTGAGAGAAATTGCTTTTTGACCTTGACTGTTCCTGTAAAGACAGAATGCATCTTGGAATGTATTTCCGGCGGCGTAGTTTGATTGACCTATTGATCCAAACACGCCAGCGATGGAAGAAAGGAGTATAAAGAAATCGATGTTATCCGGCAAAGCTCTATGGAGATTCCATGTGCCCTGGACCTTTGGAGATGTTGCTGCCGACCAATCTTCGAAACTCATCTTCTCAAATAGGACATCCTATTACTTGTCAATAAATGTCAGTTGTTCGGATTTTGGATTCAGCTACCTTTAAAACCATCGTAGCTTGTATGCATCCTTTGATGGGAGGAAAAGCTCTAGAGCATTGCGAGATAGCTTTTCTTAGTTGATCAGAAGATGTAATGTCGCATTTGGGTGCTTCGACAGAGACCCCCATATCACGTAGCTTGATCAGCAAAGAAGTAGCGGCATCTGTCGTAGGCCCAGATCGTGATAATAGAATGAGATACCTTGCTCCTTTATCGGCCATCCATAGTGCTGCACTTCTACCCAAACCGCCCAAGCCACCTGCTATTATGTATGATGATTTTGAGTCAAAGCTCCACAGTGCTTGCGGTTGAATAGTTGCCTGTTATCGAGAGTTGTTAAATAACTGGGATATTAAGCCATGCAAACAATTTGAAAACTTACAGGGATCACATCTGCTCCATCGATGCTTAGAACTATCTTTCCAGATGTTTTACCGCTCTGTAATAGTCTCATGGCCCCTTTAAGATTCTCAATAGATATCACGTGAAATGGTTTGAAAGAATGAAATATTCCCCTATGAAAATAGTCGATGACATTAAGCATTATCTCTCGAAATTCTTTTGGTCTCTCAATGTTCAGAGAATCAATGGTGATCGCGGCGAATGTGACGTTCTTTGCAAAGGATGACATAGGTAGCTTGGTATTGGTGTATATATCAAGTGTACCGAGCTCGATAAATCTTCCATAGGGCGCAATTAACTCCCAAGTTGCGATTAACGCGTCTCCAGATAATGAGTTGAGGACAACATCTATCCCACGACCTTGTGTCATACGTCGTATTCCCTTTGCAAATGATAATTTACGACTATAGAAAATGTGATCTTCAGCGATACCATATTGCTCCATGAGCAATTCTTTCTTTTGGTCGAATCCCACAGTAACATATATGTCACAACTCAAATTTTTCGCGATCTGGATTGCCATTTGACCAGTTGCTCCGGACGCTGCATGAATCAGAATCGATTCTCCAAGTTTGAGCTTTGCAACGTTGATGAGAGAGTGATATACGGTAGATCCGGCCATGATCATGCCTGCAGCTTCCTCTGGAGCCATTTTTTCGGGAATTTGAAGAACAAGATCCGAATGTGCTCTGACATATGCATTCATACATCCGAATTTCGCCATATAGGCTCTGTCACCTGGCACAAAGGTCTTGCAATTGACTCCCACCCGAGTGACTATACCGGTACTTTCACAGCCTAGAAGATTGTCGTTATTATGGTATCGACCAAGTGTCACAAGAAGATCGCGGAAGTTTAGACCGGTATATTGAAGTTTGATCTCCACTTCGTCTGGACCAATTTCCGCTTGGAACTTTTCATCTTGAATAAAGTGAAGAGATTCGAGCAGTCCAGGCCTTTTTAATGTCAAAGTTACTGCTCCTGCTTGATCGATTCGAACGTTTCTCGTTTGTTCATGTATCCTAGTGTGTACCTGTTGATCAAGAGCTTTTGCTTCTCTGATGCGACCAATGTACAACAAACTATCACGATCCACATATTCCATGTCGCTGCTCATTCCTGTACCCAAAATCTTTTGAGAAAGAACGGATGCAATAGTCTCCCCCCACTTCTTGGGATCAGTCCCATTACCCTTGATATGTAAAGTGATGAAGGCAATGTCAAGTTCTGAACGTAGAACTCTAGCCAGTCCATCGACTAGACCATCAAAAGCTGCGGATCCCGCATCTTCTGAGCTATGCGTTACCCAGAGAAGATTCTTTGCAGAAACACACATTTGTTTCAGGACATCAAAATCAGAACTGGACAAGTTAGACAGAAATGGCACTTCAACCTCTTGAAGAAAGACGAGGAATGAAGATTGTGCATCTGTAATAGAAAATGTCTCTTTGAATGACAGTAATTGGATCTCAATGTCGATGGAAGGTTTCAAGCACGCTCTAATGTTCTTCACAACCTCAACTTGTTGGGAAGATGTGAGATCGACCAGAAAAATTATCTTCTGGACAGTGAGAGGTATTTCTTCATTGTTTGCCGTGGACACAATGAGACTGTACTCATGATATCTGGGGTCGTCGGTGTCGCGAATCGAGAAATCGACACCAGTGAAACCATTTTGGAGGAGAACTGTATGCCAAGTTTCCTCTGAAACACAAGGACCGTCTGAACGAAATTTCTCCGTGCCTATTTGCTCAGATTAATGCTACTGAAAAACACGTCTGATCAGAATCAAACTCACCCAGCCACCAGCCCTCCAAAGTTCCAAACACAAATCCTGTCCTCATTAGATCCGGTTGCGTATTCTCAAGCATAATAAGCTTTCCGCCACTAAGACGATTAGCAGGGAAATGGGAAATTTTGATTTATGACTCACGGTCTCAATAATTTGCGACAGTTTCGCAGTGTATGTGCTAAGCTACTTGTAGCATGTAGAACCTATTGAAAATCGTCATTAATCACTAGGTGACTATTTCAAGAGTTGGTTCTGGGATCTTACACTGTGGGCAAGAAGTAAATCAAACGATCCTTCTTCAAAGCCCTGGGACACAATATCACCTTCAATATCCAGCACGCGGAACTGGATCTTATTTGTCGATGTCCCAAACTTCTCACGGGCTTGTTCAAAAAAGCTTGGTGAGATATCCGTATAATTATAAGAATTGAATCTCTCCGTGCATCGCTCAGTTCCGTCACGTTGAAGTAAAACTGACATCACACACTCTGTGAAAGATCCTGTCCCCGAACCTATCTCCAAAACATCCAATCCGGGGTTCTGATGTGCAATTAAGTCAAGATACTTGGCGATATCCTTGCCATAAGTCTCTCTCATGCAAATATCTCGATAATACAATTCTGCCACTTTTTCCCCCGAGAAAAGAATTTCTAGTGGATTAATTTGACCTCGTATAATCCCTGAGAGTTCTTTTCCAATAGCAAGGTAAGTCCTCACCAGTGGATGATCTTTCATGTCTTTGGGGATAATTACATCAATCTCAGAATCATCATTGACCCCCTCGGCACTTGAAAGAAGCTCACTTGAAGAAGTGGTTTTCTCACAAGCCTTCAAATGACACCGGAGACTTCCAAGATACTTTTGGATAAATGGCTTGGCGTTATTTTCTTCAACTTCTGAGATTTCGTTCAGCGCTTCCCTAGCGAAGTATTCCAACATGAATTCTAAAGTTTGGTAGACTTTGAATCGCTCAACATCTTCGATAGTTTCTGATCGACAGAAACGAAGTACTTCATGTGGTTTCAAAAATGTTACATCTGGCTTCCAAGAAATGTACCAATTGAGTTGTCGTGGTTGGATCTGTTCTTGAAAACTAGTACTATCGGAGACTGTGCTTGATTCTAGGCGAGATAAGGATAATATGAGTTTACCCATGCGGTCCAAAGCAAAACTAGAAATTTCGGCCTTCTGAGACCCTTTCCTTTCTGCTGTACAATAAACCTGTATTGATTGAGTCTCTGGATAGCTCAGACCGGTACTGGAGATCCAAGCATTATCAATTCGGGTGGGAATCATTGTCGGTATTTAGTTGAACATCCATCTGTAAGAGGAATCCATGAAAGTTGCATGAGAGCGTCCAAGGTAGTAGGATGAATGGTGTGAGCCTCTACTGCTTCGATACCTTCATATCCTGCCCAATCAAATGTGGTAAGGTCTGCAATTGCAGCCTTGTTTCCGTCGTGGAATATTTTATCCAATTTTTTGAATGATGGCCCTAACTCTACACCCATATCGCTTGTGCATTGATAAAGGGTCTCCTTGGAAATGTATTCTACACACTCACGAGCAGCAATTTTGTGTTTCAATGTATAGTCGTCTTGTTCGTCTCGTTTCACTTTACCGCAGTCAACCTCGGTGATATCAGTCTGATGCTCAACCTGAATTATTCCGCGGCAGACCTCCTTCCAGTAACCATTATTGATGGCGTGTATACGGAACTCGGAAGATGTGCAGTCTTTGTCGGATGAATTCTGCAGCGATCGCATACATAATTGCGCTTCTGTTTTAGGATCCTGGCCGGATATCTGAATTGGACTTGAGATGATGACATCTTTCAACCTGAATCCGTTGATTTTTTGATCTTTTGCTACCATCTGCTTTGAAGCTTCTATGGCCATCACCATCATACCGGTTGCTGGATATATGACTTTCCCATTAACCTAGAGATTTTTTTTTCGTTGGCAACTGACTAGTGAAAAAATGGATGCAAGTTAAAAGCTAACCTTGTGATCCTGGATCCAGGAAACTCTTGTTGGATCAAAAATCTTGCGCCACCTAGATTCTAGGAGGTTTCCATCACTTATTGGCGTGCCAAGCAATTCAAGCTCAGGATGTTTCCTGAAAATAAGCTCTCGTCGTCTTCTTGGCTCATGCCAATATGAACGGGAATGAATAAAAGGATATTCTGGTAAGTCAACCAACAGCTTTTTCCGGGAATTACAAGAATTTTGAGGCTCGTTCACACAATCAAAATTGATCTTGTAGCCTAAGGAACTTAGGCGACCAGCCAACTCTTTCATGGCAGTAGTGCTGGAGGTATTACGCGATAGGGTAGAGTGGTATCTCAGTCCTGATTTGGGACTTAATCTGTCGGAAATCTCCTTTACATATCGTTGTAGTGCAGGATGTGGCCCGATTTCCAAAACATCGCAAACTTCAAAACTGCGATTTTTTGCACCCAGTTTCCTCTTGGGAGATGATATTGCTGTAGCAACAAGATCATCATAAGCCTTCGAAAAGTTAACTTGACTCACCATATTTCCGACCCAATATTGAGCTTGGCTGAGGCTCTCCAAGTTGAAAATACGTTCACCCGTGACCGAAGATATCATAATGATAGGCGATAGGGGAGTTTGACCTATTGCCAAGGTTTGTAGTAGGCCAGAGTATTCATCTGCCACATCATTCATTTGAGGGGAATGATAAGCAGCTCCGGTTTTCAATTTGCGCCCAAATATCCCATCAGTATTAAGTTGCTGTTGAAGCAAATCAATTTCCCTTTCCAAGCCTGAGAGTGTCACATTGCAGGGACTATTAACGCATGCTACAGTGAGGCTTCCGGAATTGGAAAGGCCCAAAGCTTCTGTTAGATATGGCTGAACCTCGGATTCTGCAAGGTTGATGGATATCATTGCACGAGGATGTTTATAGCTGTGCCGAATTTTCCTAGCTACCTGCCCTCTAAAGAAGGCCACCTTGCATGCAGATTCGAAAGATAGACCACCACACGCGTAACTAAAAATTGATTTCTTAGTGCAAGTATTCTGTTATGGGGACCTTAAGAGTGACCTACGCTGCGGCGATTTCGCCAGAGGAATATCCCAACACAATAGTAGGCAATATACCAAATTCTCGAAGTAATTCGATTAGCGCAAGTTGCAGAGCGGTTGTGAGGATTCATAATAAGTCCACTAAATCACTTACTAATATCTTATCAAATAAGGGATATATTAATGACTAATACACATATGATATGATCTTATATTATAAAATCATATTATCATATAGTTGTATAACAGTATCTCTTATCAAATTGATTTATAATGGAATAGAATGAAATGGAACTAGATGGAAGTATACAGGAAATCTCGCTAAATTGATTGGTTGTACTTTCTTTTTATTATCTAAAGTGATTCTATAAGATACGATTTAAATCGATTTTATTTATAAGCATAGAATATATTGGAATTTCATTATAAACTATATAAACCTAAAATATTCTTTAAAGAAATTTTAGGAAAAAATAAGCAATTTCATCTCAACTCAGCCTAACTCTTCTAAATTGACTTTAATTCAACTCTTATTCTATATATTCGATTTATTCCTATAGTTTAAATTAATTAGATCTTTTATTATTCTTATAATATTATTATTCCTTTTTATTATAAAAGCTAATCTTCAAGAGGTTATAAGCCTAACTAGTCTAAACTAGTTTAAAAAGAAAATTAGCTTGATTTAAGGCTATATATCATATATATACCACTATTGAACTATCAAATATCGAATTTTTCGAATCAATTTAATCAAATTCATATCGAAAACTATTACATATAGATTCTATGACCTATATCCCTAAAGCTAAATCTAATTGAATATATAAAATTAGATCCCTAAATAATATATTTATACTATATTACTATCTATAACAAGTGATATATCAATCTTCTTTATATTAAGATACTCTAGTTTATTTAATTTTTATTTTATATCAATTAAAATAAAAATCTAATTTAAAAAATAACTAGTCTATTCGATTCTTGAGATTAAAATCGATTTTAAATCGATTTATTTATTTAATCCATTCAAGCTTAAAACTAGTTATATATTTAGATTAGTATTTAATTAGTATAAGATTAATTAATCTATAAAGAACTTAAAATGGCTTTTGGTATCAATTTTAAATCTAATCCTTTAAAAGGCAGATCTAATTATATTGAATGAATTAACCAAGCTAAGCTCTTTCTTGAAATAAATAACTTTATACCATATATCAACAATATTAAGATTTCACTTAATAAAAATCTATATATAGATAAATCAGGAAGGTTTATTTTTATTAAATTAATTATAAAATACAATGAAAGGCTTTCAGAATATTAGAGAAATAAAAGAAAGGCATTAAAAGCTATTAAATCTATAATTAGCTTCGAATTAGTCAAAAGATTTGAAACTAAAACTATGGCTAAAAGTCTATGGAATTTCATTAATAAAATATTTGGAGAGTTTTTTATTGAATTAATGAGAAAATACCTAAATAGGCTAATAGAATCTAATTATATTAGTTCAAAAGGAATGGATAACTATACTAATTCGATCCAATCATTGTATAATTACCTAAAATCGATGAAATTCGATATTCCGGATGCTTTTATAATATGATTTCTTTTTAGAGGCCTATCTAGCTCTTTTGATGATTTTGCTTTTCGAAAATATAAAGAACTAGTTAAAAATACAATTAGTATTGATCTGAATAAGCTCTTTTCTAAGCTAATATTCGAAGAGGCTAGAATATAATCTAATATTGATCTAAATGCTAATAAAATAAGCTTTAATAAAGCTTCCCATTATAAATATTACTCTAAAAAGGGGTATTTAGAATCGAAATGCTTTATAAAATACCCTGAATTAAAGACTAATAAAGAGAATAATAAAAAGCAATTTAAATCAAATTCAAATAGAAATTTGAATAAAGATTTAAAGAAAAATTCGAATAAATCTATTTTTAGTAAGTAACTAATGGCTGTAGATTATTATATAGGTTTAGCTAATCAATTTCTTGGATTTAAATATAAATTTATATTAGATTTGGATGCTATAGAGTATTATTCACCTAATAAAAAATGGTTTATAAATTATAAATCATTAAATAATTATTCTATTATTGTAGCTAATGGGGAAAAGCTTTGTATTAATGGTATAGGAGATATTTCTATTCTAATTAATAATAAATCAAAAATGCTGTTGCAAGGAATGTATCATATTCTCAATATAGTCTTCAATCTTATTAATTCAAATAAAATAGCTCAAAAAGGGTGGTTAAATTATATTGTTTTTTTTGGAAACAAAATCAATATTATTCATAAAGAGGTTAATATATGAACTATAGTTTTCTGGCTAATTGATGTATATTACCTTAATTTTACGGTAAATTCTAAATATCTTAAAAGCATTAATACTCCTGAAATTGATAAAAAATCAATTTAAGAATTGAATTTATTATTAAATAAAATCAATTTCAATTTAATCTATAAGAGATTAGATTATATAAATAAGGATTATATTATTAAATTCTTAAATATCCAATTAAATATAGTTAAATCTGATTTAGAGGTATGTGAATTATACAAATTCAGCAAATTCCATCAGAAAATAAACAAGGAATTCTTGGAAATCCCTGAAATAAGCTCTAAATTCGAAAAATTCAGTCTAGATATAGCTGGATCTTTTAGAATTATAGAAATTAAAAATAAAAAATATTTTTTAGTATTCACCAATTAAGCCATTAAAGCTATTTGGGTATATTTTATTAAATTCAAATCCCAGGCCTATAATATTCTAATAAAATTCTATAATCTAATTAGAAATCAGTTTAATATTAATATTAAAATACTAAGATTAGATAATACTCTCGAGTTCCTTTCGAATAAATAATCGAATTTTATTCGAAATCACAGAATTATATATGAATATATAAGTCTGTATACTTATTCCCAAAATGGAATAATTGAGATACTAAACAGATATATAGTCGAAAGATTAATCTGTATAATTAAGGAGAAAGAGATTCCATTCTATTTATGGTTATACCTAGTTAAAGCCATCACTCATATTAAAAATAGAATATATAATAATTCTATTAATAATTCACCATTCAAATTAATATATAATAAGAAGTCTAATCTAAGCTATATTAGAATCCTAGACTCTCTTACTTATATTATTAATAATAAAAAGATTCACAATAAAAAACTGGATTTTAAAGCTCGAGAAGGTATACTAGTAGACTTTGATTTATTTAATAATTATTTGGTCTATATTCTGGTTAATAAAAGAATAATTAGCTCAAGAGATATCAATATTCAAAAAGATCTTATATACTCTAATAAGTATAAAAATCAGGATCTAAAGTTATTGGAAGAAGAAGATCTCGAATTTGAACCTATTCAGGATAATATAAAGAATAAAGATATTATTAGTATTAATAAACGTTAAACTAATCCCGAAATAAACAAAAACAGTGAAAATAACAAAACACTTGATTGTATAGAAATCGATCCCGGTGAGCCTACTCCCGGTGAACCTACGCCTGATAAGGCAATAGAATCTAATATACAATAATCTAAATATATAAAAGATCTAATTCCTGATAATAAAGGTTTTAATAAAGATGGAAAACATATAATTTCCTATTATAGACTTGCTTTTTCCAAATATTTTAATTTAATTAATAAGGGGGTGAATATCGAAATAGATTAATAAGATCTTCAATTAGCTTTCAATATTAGACTTAAAAATAATAAAAAGATTATTATTAATAAGCCAGATTGTATATTGATTGAACCTAAGATTTATAAAAAAGCTATTAGCTCTTTAGAAAAGGAATATTAGCTAAAAGCTATAGAATATGAAATAAATATTCTTGAATCTAATAAAACTTGGGATATTATTAATAATCTCAATAATAATAAAACCCTAAGAATTAGATAAATATATAAAATAAAGGATTTAGGTGAATTTATTGAATTCAAAGCTAGATTTGTTGTTAAAGGATTCGAATAGCTATATGAATTAGATTATATTGATATACATATATTGGTAGTTAAATTGATGGTATAAAAGCTCTTATTCGTATTAGTTCTTCAAAACAATTAACTAATTCATAAAATCGATATGATACTAGTGTTTGTATAAGGTAATATCGATATATTACTCTTATTAAATTTACTAAAAAGATTTAATGAATTAAAGAATAAAGCTTTAAAACTAAATAAAGCTTTATATAGCCTAAAACAGTTGGCTAGGATATGGTATTATACTCTAAAAGATGTATTAAACAAATTAGGCTTTATAAATCTAATCTCCAAGAAATGTATTTTTATTAATAAGAATAAGAATATGATTTTAAGCATATATATCGACGATATTGCTATAATAACCCCAAATCAAAAGATTATTAATGAATTTATTAGTAATCTAAAAGAATACTTCGATTTAAAGGATCTAGGTTTTATAAAGAATTATCTAGGTATTCAAATTGAAAGGACTAGTAATACACTAAAGCTATATTAATCAGAGTATACTAAAAAGGTGCTTGCTAGGTTCAATATGCTAGATTCTAATCCTGTTTCTATTCCAATAGACCTGAAAATAAAGCTAATTTATAATAAAGGGAAAGCTAATGATGATGATATTAAACTATATCAAGAAATTATAGGCTCCTTATTATATTTAGCTTTCGGAACTAGACTAGATATAGTATTTTCCATATCTAGATTAGCTAGTTTCTTGTCCAATCCTAGTGTAGAATATATTCAAGCCATTAAAAGAGTACTAAGATACTTGAAAGGGATTATAAATAAGGGTACAAATTATATTAAAATTAAAAACCCTTATATTCAAGGATTCTGCAATGCCGACTATAGAGGGGAGATCAATATGTATAAATCCACTAGCGGATATGTATTTATACTAGGGAATGGGCCTATTAGTTGGAAATCTAAACTATAACCAGTAGTAGCCCTTTCTACAGCCGAATCTGAATTCATTGCTATAAACCTAGCTGCTAAAGAGACTATTTATATTAAAAAGCTACTATTAGAGCTTAATTTATATAAACAGAATAAATTTCCTCTATACACGGATAATCAGGCTGTACTAGCGCTTGCTAAAAACCCTATATTCCATAAAAGGAGTAAGCATATAGCAATCAGATTCTACTATATTAGGGATATTATTAAATTAGGGGATTTAGACCTAATTCATATATCCACTAATAAACAAAAAGCTAATAGACTTACTAAACCATTAGCTCGAATTAAATTAATCGAATTTACAAATCAGATTAATCTGAATTAAAATAAATAAAATTGATTTAGTATATCTATTAAAAGAATATATAAGGATTTATAATAAGTCCATTAAATTATTTACTAATATTTTATTAAATAAGGGATATATTGATAACTAATATATATATGATATAATCTTATATTATAAAATCATATTATTATATAGTTGTATAACAGTATCTCTTATCAAATTGATTTATAATAAAATAAAATGAAATAGAACTAGATAGAAGTATACAGGAAATCTCGCTAAATTGATTGATTGTACTTTCTTTTTATTATCTAAAGTGATTCTATAAAATACAATTTAAATCGATCTTATTTATAAGCATAAAATATACTGGAATTTCATTATAAACTATATAAATCTAGAATATTCTTTAAAGAAATTTTAGGAAAAAGTAAGCAATTTTATCTTAACTCAGCCTAGCTCTTCTAAATTGATTTCAATTCAATTCTTATTCTATATATTCGATTTATCCCTACAGCTTAAACTGACTAGATCTTCCACTATCCTTATAATACTATTATTCCTTCTTATTATAAGAGCTAACCTCCAAGAGCGGTACAAAGTGGCTGAGTATAAGCAGGGTCATTGATATTAGAAACACTTCCGTCGTGAGCAAGTTCATCTTAAATGATCAGCGTCCGTTTTTCTTTTGAAGATACAGGGAGATAGGTAACAAAGAAACACAACCCTACCAGAAAGACACCAGGTACATCCAAGCTGGCGAAATGCTTCTTCGGCTTTCTTGAGTGTGTTGCGAAATGCAGGAAAGGAAAGTAAACTCATTCCCATTCTAGAATACTGTGCACCCTGACCTGTGAAAATAAAGGCAACGCCCAGAGAAGAGCCGGCCCTGATTGGTGACGATAGCTTGATCGAAAGATTCATTACATCGGTCAAACTATCAGTGACAACGAAGGATCTCCATGTCAGCGCAGATCGTCGAAAAGAAAGAGTGTAAGCTAGGTTCCTCAATAAAGAGAGTTGATTGATTTGAGTTTGCAAAGCATGACCTGCAAAGTAGGAACTATAAGCTTCTGCAAGGCGTCCTATCCCATCCTTGTCGACAGCACTAAAGACTAGTAGTTGCGGATCAGAAACAGGATTGCAAGATTTTGCGGTAAGCCCATTGACCTGAGTTACGGACCAGAAGTTAGCATAATGAATCATCAAGACATTGAAAAATGCGGTTCGTACGTATGCTTTTTCTTCCGATTCCGAGTCACCTTCACAAATTTGTGGGTCAAGTATAGTATTATGATTACCGACGAGGGAATTTAATTTCAAAAAATGGTATGCATCATCCACGATGCAATGGGAATTAGATCCACCGAAGCCGAATGAATTTACGGAAGCTCGACGAAGACCTTGACAAGGCCACGGAGCTTGCTCTGTAGGAAACTAGTACTGCATTAACAAGGAAAAACCATACCGCCATTTACATAAGCAAAGAAATACAAACCTTCAAGTGGAAGAATTCCGCATCTATGTTTGAGTTTGCTCGCTCGAAATTGGCATTTGGCGGAATTATACCCTTCTCAAGAACGAGGACGGTTTTGATCAAGCTAGCAAGACCACTGCCTCCTTCGAGATGACCTATGTTTGATTTCAAAGCACCGCTATTCGACTGTAAACACTTGATCACATGACAACACTTACATTGGATCGCTCACATGTATAAAGGCTCGGTAGTACTACGGTATCTGCGAAAGACACTACCAATAGCCCCTGCTTCTATTGGATCACCAAGTGGCGTCCCTGTACCTGTTGATAGATAAGCACTTGGCTTGAGATTATTTTGAGATTATTAAAACTGACATACCATGAGCTTCAAAGTATCTTGTTTTAGCTGGGTTGAGTCCAGCTTTAATATAAGTCTCTTCAATCAAACGGGTCTGTGCCTCCCGACTGGGCTGGGTGATACCAGGTGTATGCCCATCCGAGTTTGAGCCAGTTGCACGAATGATAGCCCTGATGGTATCGTTGTTTGTCAATGCATCCGACAATTTCTTAATGATGACTACGCCCACACCCTCACCTCGTGCGTACCCGTTAGCTCTGCTGTCAAAACTATAGCATCTGGAGTCCGGTGAAAGGAAGCCCATGTTACAGAGGCTAATCCATGTTTCCAGACAGCTAATAAGACAGCTACCAGAAACAACAGCCTATTGTCCAATGTCAGCATCTTGATCTCGACGAAAGAAAGCAAGAGAATAAATCGCTGTTTAACAAACCATAGAAGAATCTCCATTACGAAGTCCCTGACACGCGATATCCAACGCCATGAGACTGCTCGAACAAGCTGAATCTAGATTGATGCTTGGGCCACCAAAATTGAAGAACCAACTTAGACGGTTTGCAAGGAGTGACATGGCAGTCCCTGTCACAGCATATTTTGGAAGATCCTCTGGATCTTTCAAAGACGTGAATCGGTAGTCATCAGCCATGGAGCCGGTGTATACTCCTGTCTTTGTACCAGAGGCTTCATTGAGCGGGATGCCGGCTAAGTAGAAATGTCAATAAATCTCTTTGAACAAACATATAATACACATACCATTTTCAAGAGCATGATAGGTGGTTTCGAGAAGTAGCCGATGCTGTGGATCCATTGCTTTTGCTTCTTCTGCTGTTATCGAGAAAAGGAGGGATCAAAAGCTGCTAGATCGCCTTGCAAAAAGTTTCCACCACGTGTGTAGATCTGTTGAAAATCAATAAATGAACTTTTCTAGGAAACATGTGAGGGACAAACTTACAGTACTGTTCTTGTTTTTATCTGGATGATAAAAGGCGTCAATGTTCAGGCGGTCGCTCGGCCATTCAGTCATGGTGCATCTCTTCTCTCGTATCAATTTCCAAAAAGCTTCCGGGCTAGTAGCATCTTGAGGATATTTTAAAGACATGCCAATAATGGCAATAGGTTCAAGAAGGTCTTGATCCATGATATCGAGTGAAGAATTGGGAAGCTGGTATTACAAGACTGAGCGCACTCATTTCACGGAGTTTTGTATAAAATGGTAAGATATATATATATATCTCCAATGATAGTCGTACAAACTTCTGTCAATGGCTGGTATTGTGTAATAATGAAAATTAATACTGGTACTCTTAGAAAAGGTGCATTAGCATATTCAACTCATTCCTCGCCATTCATATCGTAGGAAAGTAGCTCTCAGACGTGATAGTAATGTGTACATCGGACTCTGAGGTCCGCACAGGATACGTGATTTACTAGATATAAGCCTGAGGGATCAATCCGAAGGGCTGTATTAGTAATGATTTTCTGCTTGAGCAAACTTTACGATATACGGTCTTGGTGTTCACAAGTGACTCGAATTTGACAACAGTATCAGAACTATTTAGATCATTACTCCATTAGGAATGGATCAGAGTGGCGTTTGTGGTATCTAGCCATGATTATCCTTCTTTTTCTCCGTACGAGTCGTCACACCAATGCCAAGAAAATCACAATCTTCCGAAGTAAAGTAAGACGACAGGAAGAGGATGAATAGGCCCAAGAGATGAACTCCATCTAATCTCTCATGTCATACACAAACGGGCAGTCCTGTTCCGATCTTACTTACTCGGTCATTGAGATAAATCAACACCCCTGAAGTCAGACCAAGCTTAAGAAAACCTGAGGAGGCCAAGTAACATTCAGTCAAGCATTGCAAATTACGTTACAGCATTTCGAGGGAGGGAAGGCAGGAAAAAACCCTGGAGCATAGAATCAATCAATGTAGTGCGACCGAAAAAATCCTCCAGATCCCAGGCCATGTCTTCCTGCAATCCGGTGGTAGATCAACACGACATGTGCCTTTCGTCATTTTATGACAAAACTTAAAGAATCAGGGATGCCTCTTTGAGGTATGCAAAAATATCCACTATGTGTTGAGAAATTATTTCTCGACAGGCGACAGTGCGGATTATATGGCAAAGAATCTTACAGCATTCAAATTATTGTAGCATCACAAAATGGAAGATATACATGGACTGGGACCTTCAATTACATTGATAATTTCGCCAGTGACAATTTGGACTAGCTCTTCCAGAATTGTCATATCACGGGAGCCATGATATGATTAGAGAGGATCTGGGGTAGGCTATACTAGTATGTGTCATTTTCATGGACTCTACAGATCCTGAGCTTGTCTATCTTCACAACCAGTTTATTCAAAGCTCCAAGAGTTGAATATATAGCTCAAATCAAATACATTTGAAAATGAAATACAAGTGATAGATATTTCGGATATAGCAAAGAAATTACCGCTAGGGAATCATGAGCAAGGTTGTCTGTGAAGCAAAGTATCCTTTTGTGAATCCTCACTTGAACCCAAAAACCCGACTTTCAACATGCTTCTACTCTTGATGTCACAGTTCCTTTATTCTCTTCTCTGAAGGCCGATTGTAATTCGTGCTGTTCTACTAATCGCTGGAAAGTATCTTGTCGGAGCTTTCTCCCAGAACCGATCTGTCTCTGCGCATGGTGGGATGTCTCCTTGTCGGTACTTTGTTCCTTACCAACACCAAGTAGTGTAAATAGGGAGGTGCTGATTTTCGAGAAAATTGCAGTTTGGTTGACCGTTCTGATGAATTTTGGGAATGCGGGTAGACAGCTAACAATAATAGCTAGCCCAAGCTCGGCGCACATATGTATGGCAAATATGCTGGTATAATAAGTGATATCGTCACTATAGTAGAGAACCACGCCGTAATAGAGACGCACTGAAGCAAAAACGCAGGCACTGGTGGTATGTTAGCAGCTTTTAGGACCCATAGTATCTTTTAAACAAAACTTACAGAAGCGCAGTAGCGAAAATTAGTGAAACACCCAAGCGCTTTGAAGCATTCATTTTAAGTTTCCATATAATTCCTTGTGGCAGTAAGAGGATCGCCAGATCCGATATCACATTGATTGATGAAGCTGCAATGTTCAGATATTTGACTTTGATGGGGCATGAGCCAGTGGTGATGAAAGGATCCCATGCTTTTGCTATTGGCTTGCAGGAAAAGATCTCCATGAAGAAGCAAGTGGTGTAAAACACAACATTTAACCAGATAAACGTATGGCAGGTCCAGAAGAACCATTTACGCTCTCCAATCGAGAATATAGTTACATACTGAAGAAGAATAGATGCTTTGATCGTAAGCACGATACAACCATTCAAAATGGAGATGATATGGAGGCCCTGTGTATTGTGTCAGATTTGAACAGAGCTTCATGTTTGACTAATAATTACGTAGAGGAAATGTTTCAAGTCTTTGAGTTGCACATCCCATTGATGTCTCCCGGCACCGACCACACCACCCCATCGAATGAGCACGAAAAGAGCGACGAACAAGCCCTAAAAAATTAGGTCCATCTGCAACGAGCGAGCAGTAACTTTAACATACCCAAGAAATAGTGCAAAGCACTAGACAGTTAGCAAAGAACAGTAGCAGTAAAGTTACAAAGCAAGACTCACAATCCTCCAAATTCCCTTTGCGGTTGATAACTAATTTGGTGTATAAACGCACCAATACTGCTATTGTAGTGAATAACAAGAATAATAATTCAACAGCAAGCATCACTTGGGTTAGGCTCCGCGGGTCCGTGAAGTTAGGTACAACGCCATTCGGGGGTTGTAGCGCACGGCCGTTTAGCAATGCTTCCACCGAAGCAGGCGTCTGGTGAGTTGAGGAATGCATAATTGGCAGATGCTTTTTAGTTTAAGTGCTTTATTTGCAACAAGATTGTGGGTTCAAATGATTGAAGTTTACTAGTAATGTTCTTGGAAAACTCAGAGGTCTGTTTCTTACGTCAAGTCCATCACAATCATTAAATTTGTAAAAAGAAATTGGTGTTTGAACCAAAAGCTTCAAAATGATCAACTTGTCACCTCCTTCGTAAGCATCAAGCAATGTATAAAGGGGCACAGTCTGTCAGAAGGTTCTACTGCGGTCTAATTGATCCTATGGACCATCAGAGTATGCCTGGCTTCATGTGAGTGCATTCAGTAAATGTGCTACATATATCCTGGAATTCAACAATGACTTCGAGAAATGTTATAAATAGAGTCAAATGTGATGCTAAATCTGGCATCAAGAAGCTCCGACGTGCGAGGATTAAGAGTGCCAAAAAGCTTTCCCAGTATCTGCACAACTTGAACAACTGACAAGATGATGTTTCACAGAGGAACGGCATCTCCGCTCAACCTACTTAACTAGAACGTGTTGAGCTCGGGCGCATTGCTAAGTTCGGACTATGTGCGGTGGAACTGTGCCAAAAAACGTTAATAGCGAGTGAACAAAGGAGATATGAGTATAAATATTCTGAAGTTGAAACAAATTCCTCCTGTCTCTTTTGCACATTGCGATGTTCTACCCTACGTCAAATTGCTAAGGGCAATTGTCCGGAAACTCGTTGATTCGATGAAAATTCATCATTCTCATGAGGTGACATGAAGCAAATATGACTCCTTGAGACAAATAAAAGCGAGAAAAACCCTTGGAAAACGAACATCGTCGCTGCTGTTTAGGTTTCGGGCAACGCGGCTCAACAAGAAACCGTCTTACTCTTGCTCCAACATCCACATATGCGTGTAAAAACTTCAGGAAAGTCAACCATGAGCGATTTATTGGTTCAAAGCCTACCAACCACTGTTTTTAAGATCCGCGTAATCTTGATGAGATGTAAATTCAATTCGTGAGGGATTGACCTTCAACTGCGAATGGCGGCAAAAACGTAAAACTTGACATGGTTATCGCCTCATGCTGTAGCACCCAACCAAGCGAGCCAAGGCCTGACGACTGACCGAGTATGCCGTGGAATTTAATCGTCATAAGAATCCAGGCATTCAAAGGGATGTTAGTGTATAATTGTATTACTCGAAACTGCTCAATACATGATCTGATGTTGACAGCGCCCTGACTATGGCATGATTCTTTTGCTTGGAATAAGCACTAGCTGAATTTGCAACATTTTTAACACCAGTCCCAGATTTCGAGCATTTGCTATAGCTTTCTAAAAATTGGCGTACATATGCTGTGTAAGTGCCGACGCTTATGACCACGGCATTGCTACGCCTTATAAGTAGGTAGGCACCAGCTGGCTTATGCCACGTAAACATGAAACCTTATCCCCGCATACTGGTTACACATATTTGAGTATGCAAGATCCTTTCAAGTGATTTTTTGTAAGATAATAAACAATTGAAAACATTTTTGTTAAATTTTGAACGGCTTATTAGTGACCGCAAAAAGATAGTCTTTCGACTTTCTGTTTCCATCTACGCAGGGATTAAGATCTTATGTCCAATGGGATACTTCCCATGCAGAGTTTCGAGAGTAAACGCAAATCTGACAGTATCCTTTTGAGTACAAATTTCGAAGTGCTGACTCATTCTTCTTGTTTCACACCATTCCTTAGCATATTTTCAGTTACTTGGGTACTTTTCAATAGGACCCACGAATTGCCTGACTTTTCTCGTTGGAATTGTGCTTAAAAATTGGGACAATCATCGTAGGTTACAGCAATTTCGTAGAGTGGAGCGTCTTAGTTAACAGATGAATTTCAGTCCTAAATAACAGCGGTGGAGTGAAAGAGCAAGATCTTGAGTCAAGTCAGCTCTGTTTGTAGACGGTAACCTTATTACCTGCCGAAAAGAAAAATAGGAGATGATGACTAATATGAAGCTAGCACAACATAGCAAGGAAAGCTCTGGAGGCATCAAAACTTTTCCTAGATTTCACTTCTACAGCTGATATCTTTTTTTCCTTTGAAATTGAGACATTTTCAACCTTTTTTTTCACACGACCTCTAGATTAACTCATACGGAACATAAAGTCTTCGATGCGCAATCGAAAAACAACCTTCAATCACCGGAATTATGCCATTGCCAGTCGATTCCCAGAGCAGTGATGTTCAGAACAGACCTGTGGGGAACATTAGGGGGAACGTTCCTCAAGATCAACACAAGGAGCAGGCAGCCTCGGGAGAAGATACGGAGATAGTTAATGGAAGTGACGAAGTTGATTTCAAATATTTGAAAGGTCTTCGACTTCATCTAGTAACTGCGGCGTACGTGATCTTTCGATGCCAGCACCATTGTACCATCCAAAAAGTTGTCTCCAATATTAATTCTTTTGATAGTATATGCATGACACTTTTCCTCACAAATTTGGAGATTCCTATTGTGACTACTGCTCTTATTTCAATCACCAATGATTTGCATCATTTTGTTCAGGATAATTGGATCATATCTGCGTACATGCTGGGATATGTCAGTACGTACCACCGTCTAATTCCATCATGTGACACTTATGATACTGAGTTGACTTTGGTTAGGTATGCTTATTATCTGGGCCAAGTTAAGTGATATATTTGGGAGAAAACCATTTGCTGCCCTGGTGGTTCTCCTGTTTACAATATTCTCTGGACTGTGCGGAGCATCTCAAACCATGACACAGCTGTAAGTACAATAACGCAGATAGAGTCTTTGACCACGACTGATGGATGAATGTCAGAATTGTTTTCCGCGCACTTCAAGGTTTGGGTGGTGGTGGAAACTTCGCCATTGGAACCATCATATTGGTGGAACTTGTTCCCAAAGAAATGTATCCTAAATATACCGGCTTGGTTTCTGTTGTCTTTTCATTCTCCTTACTACTCGGTCCGATATTTGGTGGAGCACTTGATCATTCACCGGACTGGAGATGGATCTTTCTTCTGAAGTAAGTTCAAGATCCATCGGACTTTTACTTCCATTTCTCCAAGTTACTGAGAAAATTGTCTTCAGTGTGCCTCTAGGATTCCTCGCATTGGTTGCATTTTTCTTCTGTCTTCCGGCATCTTTCCCATACCAGGGCCAAGATAGCAGATATCAGAGGATTAACCTTTTCTCGTCGAAAGAGTCTTTCGGTAAAATCGATTTCGTTGGTGCAACTCTCCTTATCATTGCTACGACGTTGTTAGTCGCAGCATTACAGGAAGCTGGTGGAGAGTTTGCGTGGAACTCAGCATTCGTGATCACCTTACTGATAATCTCTGGAGTCACGTGGATACTTTTTATTTTATGGGAAAGGAGAGTGACCTTGGGCATGACTTTGACAGAGCCAGTTTTTCCTTGGAGACTCATGAAAAGCCGAGTCTGGGTAGGAATGACTCTGTAAGTACTTACTTGTCTTTCATGTCACATTTTGTGCCATTCTAATACGCTACTTTCTCTTAGCAACGCCTTATTCCTTGGTGGCCCGTGGTTTGTTACAATATTTCAGCTACCCCAAAGATTTCAAGTCGTGGATGGTATCTCTGCCCTGAACGCCGGTTTCAAACTTATACCATTTACAGTTCTGGCACCTGTAGGCTCGGTGATCTCTGCTGTCTTAGCAGGTAAAGTGAAAATTCCACCTATATACTTGGTTCTTATAGCATCTTGTATACAAGTAATAGGGTTTGCCCTTCTGTCCACCTTACCAACAGCAGCAACGGCTTCACCCGCTCAGTATGGCTACCAGGTAATTGCTGGCTTTGGTATTGGCATCAACATTTCAACATTAATTCTTATGACGCCTTATTCTGTCGCCGATCCACGAGACAACTGTGAGTATCCTCAAGTTCTCTTCCAATCTGCACTTACTAACACATTTTCTTTGAAGCCGTCGCTTTAGGTTGTGTAACGCAATTCCGCATCATGGGTGGAGCTCTTGGACTCGCAATTGTTACTGCTGCCTACAAAGGATACGTAACATCGCGACTGAACGCGTTTCTTACTGTAGAAGAACAACTTTCGATTTTTGAGTCTGCAAAATACATTCAATCTTTATCTCCTGAGATACAAGGCAGGGTACGAGAGGTTCTCGCCGGTGGTTATAATCTACAATTCAGGATCTTGATCGCTTTAGCCGCGGCACAGATCCCTTCTTCATTGCTTATGTGGCAGAAAAAACAGATTGTCGTATGATTGTTGGGTTTTCTGCCAATGGCATATTCATGGAAATTAGAATGCGGACGAAATAGAGATGGCAGATGAAGCAATGGCGATGCGCATCTTTGAATTGACGGTTTTACCGCGGTATGTAATGATTGTACAAATGTTACTGAATGTTTAATGCTCTTTCCACAGTTCTCTTAACAATCTTCACTATCTCCGCGACGGCAGTCTTGTTCTCTGGCCCTGGAATATCATGACCTCCTTCATGTATGAATATCTCTCTAAGATTTAGTTTACACAAATCTACCAAAACTAGGCCAAACGTAGGATACAACTGATCATTACAGCCCCAAATATGTGCCGTGGGTAGATCTATAATCTCTCCATGTACATCAGGCTGTAAGATGACAAACTCCTCTCGCTCTAGTAATGCAGTCGGATCTATCGGTATACCACCGGAAAAGAAAATTGCACATTTCAAATTGAATTTCATACAATCTTGACGTTTACGGAGGATTTGTTGATGAATGATCAATGTTGCGGCTACGGAGGCGCCGCTCGAGAAAGCAATAATACCATCATATGGACCGAATTCGGCAATGTAGTCTTGAAGGTCACGGAGGGCTTTAGTGCAACTTGCTATGGAAGATTCGTCTGCATATTGGAAGGTTTGTGTGTCGGGTGCAACAAGGCCAGATAAACCTGTGGGGCTTGAGTTAGGGGACAATATGGGAGATGTGACATGGAGGGTACGAAAGGAAAGAGGCGGGGAGTTGTCACCGACCTGGAGCAATGGGACAGGGAACAGAGCCTTCGATAAAATCATATGTATGGTCTAGAGAAAGGGCGTGCCGGATTGCGACTGTATGAGTGTAAGAGGGAGTCGATAGAAGAAACTATGTTGATGTGCTAAGAAGAGAGGAGAGCGGAGGACCGAGTACCAGTCTGGAGTTCAAAGATCTAAATGCCGAGCAGATCGGATCAGTCATGTCAACTTTTACCTTCCTTGGTGAAATTAACCTACATCACTGTTAGTTCCCATTCCATGGAGACATAAAAATCTCATTTTCACTTCGCTTGTTCGCAATCAACTAGCGTGAGTATGTGTTTTGGAGCTTTCGAATTTGATGGTGTGTTTATTAGATAGTAAGATTATTCACTGAAAAAGATCTTTCGGCATTCACTAATTTCCTTACGAGTTAGAATAGAGATGATGGGATATTTATGTGTGATACCTGAGACGCTGGTGAAGCGGTCTCGATACGAGGTACCCTGGAACGATATTTGAGACACGAAAAATAAGCACTTAGGTCGTGGAACCCAAAGATACCTATACTGTTGAATCTAACGGTTCATAGGCGGCACAGTAATAGTAGGGGGAGATAAGCCTAATTAGAATTAGCTCAAGCCTTATAAGAGATAATTATTCCAACTAGGCTACTTTATAACCATATCCTATCATAGTTCATTCCTTTCAACATACCTAGTACTCACTACCCTATTAGGCTCGCAACTTTGCCGAGAGATTGATGAATTTTTAGTCTTTTTATTTTGACATAGGTCTTACCATTCCAAGGTTACGTTAATAAACGCTTTCGTTCAATTTTGAGTCACAAACATTCAAGGCGTCTAAGATGATTCACGTAGATACTTAAAGACCATTCATTAGGTAATCCTGCGCACCTAGCTATTCCCAATAATCAGCAATTCCAAGAAACGATGATCGGGTCACACCATGAGAAGGCCTGTGCCGAGGCGCTGCAGCCCATCCCTAAATACCATCACATATTCTCAAGAAACAAACAAGTAATTGATACAGGAGTAAAATCCATTCAGTTGTCAAGATTTTGGAGATTCAAGATTCTCAGAGAGCACTTCACAGAAACAGGATCGTCGAAACTGTCATTCCATCTCTCTCAAGTTGTCTTCGCATGAACTCAAGATGTCGTTTGCAAAAGTCACAGGTGTTGCCCTCGTAACAGGTGTGAGTAACTTACTTTCATCATCAAACGATTCATCTTTCAGATCTTATCAGACTAGCTGCTGACGTTTTATCACAGGCAGCTGCTGGTATAGGTCGGGAGACAGGTTACGCATTTGCAGAAGCTGGTGCGCTCACTGTAGTATTTGCAGATATCGATTCCGAAGGCGCCAAAACCAGTGCAGAGAAGAGTAAAAAATTTGCAGCGAATTCTCAATATCAATCTTTTGCAATTAAAGTTGATGTTGCGGATGCAGTTAGTGTTCAGTCGATGGTTGACTGGATGGTGGAGAAATTTGGAAGGATTGACTATGTTGTTCATAGTGCTGGCGTGAGTCCAGATCTCTCTAAACTTTCTCATTTGTATTGCCCCCGTTTTGCGTCCAAAATCATCCTGGAAACGCATTCTTCTTTCTCGGATGCATCTTTCTAACCGCATTCTAGCTAGGAGCTACCTCTCTTAAGCCGACCTCTGACGTCGATATCGACAATTTCGACCAAATTCATTCCGTTAATGCCCGTGGAACAATGCTTATCACACGAGCAGTAACTAAAGCCATGTCGACACAGGAGCCTCTCACGACTAAGGGTCGCCATGGCGACGAACGCACTCTGGGTCGAGGATCAATTGTGCATATCGCAAGTGCATTCTCGTATATTGCGGCGCCGGGAATGATGGCTTATGTTGCTTCGAAGCATGCGATGATGGGGATTGTTAAAGTTGCTGGTATGTTTACTCATTTTGTATATCTACCACATTTGGCCATCTAAATAAAGTCCTGTTCTTGAGATGTTGCAACTAACATAAACCAAGCGCTTGACAATGCGAAATACCAAATCCGCATAAATGCACTTTGCCCAACGTGGGTACAAACTTCAATGTTGGAACGTAGCATAGGTCGATGGAAGGGACTCGAAGCAGTTATTCAAAAAGCTTCACCGGCAGGAAGGGCGGCTACTGCGGAGGAATTGGCGAATGTTGCAGTTTTTATGTGCAGTCCTTCTGCTAGTTACGTCAATGGATCAGGATTGATTGTTGATGCTGGTATGACGGTTACGGCCCATATTTGAGAGATGAAACGGAACATGAGGGTCTGGGAATAGCAATTGGTTAACGTTGGGAGTTTGGGTAAGGGAGGTAAATCAATTTGTTGCTACGTCAGTGTTTTGCTTATGGCTATGAATTGACACGGTATCTTGATTTCATGATACCCGGACCGAATGATGACTTCAAAATCTAGGATATATTCATCAATTCACTCAAGTGCAACTTCCTCCGTTGTTCACTCAACTACCTTCCACTCTATTCCATCTCTATATTCTCCATCCATATCTTTCCCACCCTGAAGTCACTGCTAAAATGTGCCTTCGCATGTGCAAAATTACTCTGAAAATTACCACACTATCTTTATGCCAGTTACAACATTAAGATCTCAAAGGTCAAACATCTCGTCAGCGTGTTTTGTACTACCAATTCAAATTTGACATTCGGCGTAGTTGCCTAGATTATCGTTCATACTGCGAAAGAGAAGATAGAGGCGAACTTTAACACTGTCAGTCGAGGTTCTCTTCTCGTCAAACTCTGTCGGGTGATTAAACCGGAGTTGTTTCCCTTGTTTTCTTATACCTTTGCTGTTGGTACTCGGCTGGTTAGGTTGTTTTGAACAACTCGTATAGTGTAGTGAAACAGGGAATGGTAACTTACTACAACACAACGCCGATGGTCTCCATTTTCAACCGGTGGGGACATTCCATACTGAGCAACCTTTCCAAATTTCACACCATTTCGAATTCAAGAATAGGAGTTGGGAGCTTATTTATTAAAACATGTCTCTTTGAATACTGGAGACATCTTGATAATGCGTAAAGAAAATATCTTGTGATTTGTGGAATATTCAGTCTTATTCTTTGCCCTTGTCAGATATTTATTTCAGAGTGAATGGGTCTCTTAGTTATATAAAGAAGTTCTACCGAATACTCGAAACAACACACTCAGAAACCAAGTTTTTATCTCTCCAAGTTAGCTGGTTGTTTTGCCCGTTGGGAAATGTCGCACGCTTTTATTTCCGACTCCTAATTTTTACGACGAGAACGGGAGGGAATTTTTCGGGGAGGTTTTTGTGTCTTTTTCGGCAGTGAATAATGAGCGATGATGTGTGGTGGATTATCATCTAGACTTTCTCGTCTCATCACTTACAATTTTATCGCATAATTTCTCTTTGTCGTTGTCATTTATCATCTTGCAAGTTCTTCAGAAATTATTTAGATGCTAACATTAATGCGTACTCTCTTGACCACACTGATACCATATTCGCAACTCGTATTTCCCCTGAAAACACCCTGTGCGCCAAACATCAATCACTTCCATCAACTTTCGCTTTCCCATAAGCAAAGTCGTGTAGCTTCAATACCATATTTTCTGTCAAAAGTAAAAAGATCGGGGCTCTTCGTGAGAACATAACCTCGAAAGTCCGGGAGGAAAATCACACTTCGATTCATTGTTGTCGCAGTGAAGAAAATGAGGGGTAAGTGGATCCTCCTCGTCTGTTTAGCGAGGAAGCCATTTTTGCCAAGAACTTTGCGGGGCCTCGGAGAAGGTGTAATCACTGACTTTTCAAGGCTGCCTCTGGTCCTTTTGAATTGATTTTATCAGTACATTCTTGAAATGAGCCACTTTCTCTTGAAAGGGTGAATAAACAAACAAATATTTCCCCCATTCCGAAATGAGATTAGTGATTTTCAGTCGAGACAGAATAGAAAATAGGCGTACAATTGAGTGCAGGTGTAAGCTCTGATCTGCCTGGTTACCTTAGGTACAAATTCTAGCTTGAATACTGAAATGAGAAAACTGAGGACATGTATGCGCCTGATTTATCCGTGAATTTCACAATGCGATCGCCCGTGCTATACCTGACTTTTTGGCTATTGTCTAGTAACGTCCTCTCATCTAGTCAGATGTTTTCGAATTTGTTGGAGTTTCTTGCTAGGAGTGCTGTCATTTCACTACTTTCATACTTATTTGTTCCTCGCGAGGGGCTTTGTTATACGTCTCAAGTCTGACCTGAAAAACATGACGGTTTCTTCATGTAATCTTGAAACTCTTTTTCTTTAAATTGGGGATACCATGTAAATCTAGTTTCAAAGTGGGCATGGAGTATATAGACACACAAAGAGGTTTCATGATCTGATTATAGTAGGCATAAGTGGCAAGATGCCCAGACCATAAAATGTCAATGAACATAGGAAAGAAGAGTTCCCAATCATCGTGCTGCTGTGAGGTGACAAACATGGAGCTGGAGTTTACAATTGCATGGTAGGGCTTTGATCGCTTGAATGACTGTACTCTTGGATATCTATTGTCATACTTTCGCAAGTTATTGCCGTTCATCAATATTGCTGTCATTCAAAACCTAAATTCAGACCATGATTACTTTGTCAATAAACCAAGCATAATTCCTAATGATGTCCAGAGAGCTACTAGGCAATTAGCATATAAGTAAGTATAAGCTTCTACAGATTTTTAAAGGCGGCCAGAACATGTTCAGCCATTCTTTCTGCATTAAAAGGTTAGTTTAAAAAGATTTTGGTCAGGCGGTAAGTGTTTGACTTGCTTAGGACGAAACAAGCCATTTCCACTAGCACACAAAGTTCACTCCCTAGCTCACCTCTTTGTGTCTATAAATTTCGGGGCTTCAGAAGAGTTCACAACTCAAAATATCATCCTCGCATATAATAGTATCAAAAGGAGAAGCTAAATTAATTTTATCTCAACCTCCAAATTAGATGGGATATCCAGTTGTAATTGGCAAGAGAAAATGGCGATGATTTCACAATTGATTGAAAAGCAGGAGAAAAGTCAAACTGATGTTTGAATTTGTTATCATTGTTTCTAACGAGTTTTTCTGGTTGTCGCTGAGCTTGTTCCGTTCTGATCATGGCTAAAAGCCCGACCCTTACATGTGGAAAAATGAAATGACGGCGGGGGCAACAAGACTTATAGTCGACAGCGGGCTTTTTTTGTACTTTCTATTCATCTCGAAACTACCAAAGATCTCTGCCTCTGTCACTTTTTCCGATGGAATATTAACCCGTGCGAGTGCGAGGGACAAGAGGGGAAATGATATCAGATTCCAAGGGAGATCCACTCGTACACAGACTGGTGCTTCTGGTGAACTGACGCAGTCTGTGCTTCTGGTAGACTGCTACGAAGCCTTCTGATTGTTTGAACAAAATTCTTTTGCCTTGGTCTCTTAAATAACTCTCAAATGTCTAGTTGGAGATTTCGAATCTCGGAATCTTCAACATCTAACCATTCACTGACATGTTCTTCAATCACATGTCTGGGTATCTAAGTAATCATAAGATCTCTTCCCCCGAGGGAACAAGCTGACTAAATGATTCACTCATATAAAAAAACGAGAAAATACACTCCCTTCCCACATCCAAGAAAAACGGCTGTTGGCCTGGTAAGCGACATAGCAAATGTACATCTCACTTGATTAATAAAATATTTTCTAATCATAAGTAACAAAGCATGCATTCGATTCCATCATCACTGGATACGAGCCGGAAGTTGTTTACAAGGCACCGAAGGACATCAAAGTGTTGAGTAACGAGGAAACTCAAGAACTGAAGCTCAAATCGCTAGATAATTTCAGAGAATCAATTTCACGGAAGTGTAACTACTGTAAAACATGGCTTTGGATGAGGGATTTGATAGTGAGAATACACGACTTCCGTCTGTAATTCTTATCGCTGCCGGAAATCTCACAAGTTCCCATCGATTCGACAACAAAATGCTGTTTCAGATGTATCTTTTCAAGAAGTAAATATCATAAGGCTCTATAGAAAAATACCAGAAACCACACTAGCACCGCCACTGTTCACATTTTATCTTTTGGACTGTGGTTAACCTTCTCAACTCCCTTCTATTTACCTTGAATTGGTGTGTTGCAGCCATCTCAATATCACTTGATTTCATGAATGTTAAACTCTATGGGTTACTTATGTTCCTTACTTATGGAGTGATACCTAGGTAAAGCACTTTATGATAAGTGAATATCACCAGAGTGCCTGCTTTCAAATATTTTTGGAGTTCCACAAATTCCTATAGTCAAAGATAGATCAACTGATCACTCACAGCTCAAGGCTTGGAAAAGATAATCTGTACCGACTACGGAGATGTCTAATTCGCTAAGATTGACTGAGAGTGGTGTGGAGGCAAGAATTCTTGGGAGTTGCGTCCGGTCTTTTTTAATTGACAGCGCGTAGAATTACAATGAAAAAGATAAGAGCATTCGATGATTACATATTAGTCGCTCGAAAGACAATGGTGCTATTAACACTGCCTTTGACCGCGGTAATAATAAAGTGTTCATCTCATGGTAGAATAGAGATTGGCCCAGCTTAACACTTCTTGCCATTTCAGCTTCTGAGAACTAACATCCAATTTCACGAGCTGTCAGGGTCTCTAGTTGAGGTGCTTCTGTGTACAGAGGCGTGTTGATTGGATTCTTGTCAATTTACAGTTACTGATGTGAACCGACAGTCAATGTTTAGTTCATACGACGACAGCAACAAGATTTTATCTTCGGAACTCGTTAGACTAAGTGGTCTTCCTCTGTTATAGAATGAGTCCTTCGCCTTTCATCTGTTTCTGATTCAAACAGTTACAAAAAAGATATAACTGGTTCGCCATGAACGTCCTCAGTTACCTCATTTTTATTCGAATATAAAATTTTCTTTTTTGGACAGCTGCTGGTGCTTTTATACTGAGAAATTCACGCAAATGTAATGTAACTGGGAGATGTCACTATTTAATTAGCTTTTTGTGGAATAAAAGAATGGTGTATATAAGAGTGATGATTTTTACTGGCTCGAATATCTCTATTATTCACAAGCAACGAAAACAAGGTGATGTAAAAGTACGTGGTGGTGGTTGAGTGACAACCACTACTTGGTTTCCGAGACTACTGAGATCTTGGGTCAATCGAGCCCAGTGGTGGAGTACGACTTCAAGTGTTGATATGTCTAATATAGGAGAGGATCTATCATGTGAACGATGATAGATG